ATCATGTAATATATTATATTCCGCAAGGCGGCTATCGTCTAGTATTTAAATTAATATCGTTTATTTCGCGTGAATAGATCGATTTTTATTGTCAGCGTTCGTCATTATTATGAATAGGGTCGCTCTATAACAATAAAGGTGGTTCGAATCAATAATATTGTATTATTTTGTTCTTGTGTTGAATGTCATCGTTTTAATCAATTTCGTTTGAATAATAATGAACAAAAGTACATGTTTATAGAAGATTGCATAATCAATATTAATTAACACTTTTTTTGCGAAACATACCTATATTCCTGTTTGAATTATTCAAAACCACTTTGTATAAATGTTTAATAATCCAATTTCTACACTCAAACGATATTTTAATATCAAAACGAGTTACACAATTGAAGACAAATCTAAAAAAAAATATGCAAAACTACGCACGATGAAAATAAATCAATCAAGTTTAAAACCGCAATTAGCATTAAATAGTGTGCAAAAAAAAATATGGAATTATACGTCTAGTTGTTTCTTCTTTATAAAACTATTCTCCCAGTTTAGACATTTGCACGTCCCGTCGTCGCACGTGAAAAATTCGATTATTAAAAATTGTCAGAAGAGTGAATTTGACATTTTGACGTGAGTGAATTTGGAAACAACGACGGTGGACAAACAACACATAGACAAGACGTGAGTTTATTTTTAGTTACAAATTTACCATGTATAATATTATATTCGTTGTTGTATAACGGCGCAAAGTGCCAAAGTTTATTGCTAGAAATATTTATACCATATTATTCATTTAAATAATAGTGTTATTTTTTTTTTGTATTTTATGTTTAACTTTACATAATAATATATACTCAAGCCTAAACGGTGCGAACAATTTTTTAACGAAAAAAAACAAATTAGTGTCTTGTTTGTCCCATCGGCCTTGGCGGAATATTGCCGTTGAGTATTATTTTAAGAATATTAAAAACGTCCGCGACGATTGGCAACGGATCAATATATATATATGTGGCCACGTTGCAGCCAATCGCCGATGGACATATTATATTATGTATATATAAGTGTGTACATATGTACGTATAATAATATATGTTTGTTATTATTCAAATTTTCGTTGAACATTTTTTTTGGACGCCCATTATTATACTACCTATACCGTGGTATGTAATGTATAGGTATTATATTATTATAATATCGTACGCATGTATATAGCGTCCATTCCTTTGATTTTGAACGTTCGTTTTTTTTTTCTTCGAATGTTTTACGTTTTTCTTGAAAGTGATATAATATACCGTTGGCGACGTGCATAAACACTATATTATATTATTATACCTACACGTGATGTGCGTGCGTGCAGCATATATGTATATAGTGAAGGTGAAGGTGTTGGCTTCGGCCGGGAGTGGAGAGGCAGGTTTCCTCGTCATGCTATAATCGAGTTGAGATAGGAGTTATAAATTGTATAATATTATATGCGCGACGGACAGACGACGGTTGTCGTTCGATTTCGTTTAAAATATTAAGCCGTATGTTTATAAATGATAATCGTCATATGTGTTCGTGTCCCTCAACGACACTTTTCTAATTAATATATTTTTGAAATTTGATTTTCGATTAAAATAGGTAATATTACTGTATTGCACGGAGAGCCATAATTATTGTATCACGTTGATGCGGTAGTTTCGGCTTACTTTTTAGTTTTTGGTAAAAAAAAATGTTAATATTTGTTTATGTGTTTCTTAAAAATCTGTAGAGTCGGTCATTTTATGTCATTGATTTTAAAAGTTGAATAAGTAGATTTCCATTGTTTATGCAAATTTAGTCGAGGGGAAGCTTTGGCCGGAAGCATCCGTCATGTAGAGGAGTACGGACGCGCGTATGAGGACAGTGACTAGTGAGGACAAATGTATGATAACTATGGGTTTTATGAATATGTTAAAATAACAATGCTATTATAGCATAACGATATCGGTAATCGGTATGGGTAAGTATAATATATTGTTGAGAGGACAGGTATAATATAATTGCAGGCTGAGGTGCTGCTATTGGTATAACTTGACGAAACGCACTGCTGCAGCAGCAGCAGCAGCAGCGACGGACGAAAAGCGGCCCATTATATATATTATTATACATTTACATATTGTGTACAATATATATTATATTATTATGTATATGTATATATGTAATATTATTGCGATTTATGTCATTATATTAGTTCGACCTTCGGTCGCGATACGAACAATGGCCGTAATAACGATGCCAAACATCCTGGTTAGGGCTGAACGGTTCTATTCTAGAGTGTATATATATATCCGTCGGCGCTGCGCGAATATATAGGTTAGGCCGTTTTAACCGGAGCCAACCGGGCCGTATACCGCGACCTTATGTACACCGCGCATGTGTTGCTCTTCGCGTTATGTCATGTATGTATTCCGGTCGTATACATATTATAAACCTATTATTACCTTTATGCGTTTACCTATTTGTTGTATGTGTCTCTGTGTGTGTACCAGTAAAATATCAATTATCTGCAAATATGTATAATGTATATATATTATATTATTGTAGTATGTGTGCGTGCTCGCGTAATCGTAATGCGCACGTATAGGTAGTACCTATATCGTGCCCAGTAGTCGGATGTTAATTAGTTGTTAGGTCGGCCCGTGCGGACTGCGGATATTATTCAGTGTAGGTATACACGCGTAACGGTGTGCATCGTTGCAAACAAATGTGTAAATCCGAGTCCGATCGGTGTGTATAATAATGTAGTGTTTATATAAAAATATGTGCCGTTTGTATATTATTATAATATATATAGGTGACGTGCGTATTTGCGGTCGCGTAAAACACCCTGTATAATATTATATAATACGATGATGGAAAATATTACTATATATACTATTATTAATTGTCATACTCCCGCAGTGACGTACCTGCCTATATAATATTATTTAGGCGAACGGTTTCAGTCGATGCAGTGCGGCTGCTGCACTCGTCGGATATAATCGATCGTAACCTGTTACGTTTGAATTCGGTAAATATATTCTATATTAATACACAATAATGTATACATACGTCAACTGTTCGTTGAAAATAATATAATATAAACAACGTATAGGAGCGTGTGTAATGTACCCATGTGACATATTATTACATTAACGTGTCATACGTATATAGGTTGGTTGTCACTTGTCACTATTGTCATAATAATTATAATATGGAATCCAAGTGTAGGCACATTGCAACGTGAATATTCTATATTATAATATTATAATTTTTATATTTATATACGGCGTATACGATACAGGTAGATATACTTTTAGACTATAGCGAAATTGTTTTTCTGGCCGAAAGTGGCGCCAAGTTCTTGGAATAATAAAATAATCGTCCGACTGTTCCATGATGACGACCTTTGCACACATGTACGAGTGCACACACAATCGGTCATATGTTTCTAGGTCAATGAGTTATAAGCCGTTCTGCCGACGTTTTCGCCACCGCACCATCTTTCCTACATCGACCGTATATGGAACTGTGGCGTTTATATACCTATACCTTTAAGCATTAGGCTATAATATGTTATATTATACAGCACTGCAGCTATTACCTACTATATTATAGTTAAATAGTGAAGTTTCTGGCTTCTGCGATATAGTTTTCCTTGGGTTACCTATCGATATAATTACGGACTGAGCTAGATTTACTAGACTTAATAAATTATAATGTATTATATAAGTATGGCTAACGACTGAAATTATATTGAATTCTATGCGTCTGTGCGAGATTGCGTACGATCGCGACGGTCACAATGCGTCTGCGAGAGTAATAATGGTAATAATTATTGTGTTCCAATCTACGGTGATGTCTATACATAACACTATACCTACTTATATAATGCGTGTAGCCTTTGGCCTCTATAGATATCAATGTCTATATGTGTTCGCATAAAAATATAATTAAAATTTATCTCGACGTTTAATAAATATATAAATTTATTGCAATTTTATCCACCGCGAATATATAAAATATGTTGAGGATTAGGATATAATAGCATGACGACATGACGTATGTCATAGGTCACGAAAAGGATATATGTACTGTGATATTCGAACTTTTGTCTCATTTAATTAAAAATATGTTAATTTTAATTTTTAACAACACTACACCATTATTGTTGAAGCTTTAAGTCGATCGAGCGTGCGGCGTGCCATACGTGGCGTGATTGTATTGTATTATAAATTGCTACGTATAGATGCGATAGGTACCTTTAGTTTCATTAAAATGTATAACAATTATTTTTTCCACTGATTTTTCTTTACTTTCGAAATTATGAATACCAGGATTTAAGTATAAAATATATAAAAATAAACATAATATATTATATAAATATTAACTATTTAAAATATAATTTACAATGTATAGGTACCTACTTTATACTTTAGATTTTACATTTACATTTATGCAAATATTCAGTAACAGTCTGCCAACGGCAATAGTATAGGTACTTACTACACGTACATAATAGTATATTCGTGTATCGTAGGCCGTATCGTATAGATATAGGATAACGTGTATCGGTATGTTTTTACATATACGATGTACAATGTACATATATATAGACACAACATCTATATGCATATGTCTTTGCATATTTAGACAATGTTTTGCCGTCATTTTATGATATATATACAAACTAAAATCTGATTACCGAGGTTTTATTTAGAAATTAAAAAACTCCTACGTAAATTTAATACACTCTAAACAGCGGGAATGGAGGCGTACCAGTTAATTGTGTGTTCCCGTAAGTAGGTAACCAGCTATGATGTGAAGTGTAAATATAATAATTTATAATATTATGTATAGGTGTCCGATGTCTGATGTACGTCATAAACACTCGCATACGTCCTATACCTAACTATATATCTTTCACATTATTTTATGCAGTATCATGCGTCGATTGATATTAACAAACTGTTTAAATATTGTTTTTCAGAAATCGCGTCAAGATGCATATCGAGGTTAGCGTAGCGTTGAACTTTGTGATCTCGTACCTGTACAACAAATTACCCAGACGGCGTGTGAACATATTCGGCGAAGAGCTGGAAAAGTGCCTGACGGAGAAATTCGCTGGGCACTGGTACCCGGAGAAACCTTACCGCGGCTCGGCGTACCGGTGCATCAAGACTGGATCTCCGATCGACCCGGTGTTCGAGAAGGCGGCCCGCGAGAGCGGCGTGGCCATACAGGACATCCTGGAGAACTTGCCACAGGATCTGGCCGTGTGGGTGGACCCGGGCGAGGTCAGTTACCGCATCGGCGAGAAGGGTGCCGTGAAGATCTTGTACAACGAGAACAGCGGCGGCCTCCAGTTCGACACCCACGACGACCGGACCGCCGACCGAGAGGTAAATTGTTGTTGGGGGCAGGGCCACCCTTTTGGACAAATCCAAAAAAAAAAAAAAAAAAACACCACCCATTTGCATACGTTTTGGGGATCTGTTTAGAACTTATTTGTCCCCTGCTCGTAACGCACATATTATTTTTATAATTTATTGAAGAATAATAATCTATTTGATACAGTGCGCGTTGTGGAGTAAGTCGGTGAGCGTGCTAAGTATTGGTGTATTGGTGGACACTGTGCGCGGGAGTGAGGGACGCATCAACTATAGTAATTAAATCATACTGCAGTTTATCTATATGACATCTGACACACTTGCACGTCGTTCAGGGGCGCATTAAGGGTTGACATATGGGGGGCAAAATTATTTTGCGCCCCTGGTGTATTTTATGAATATTAATGAAAGTATAAAAAACTTAAAAAAATTTCCTCGCTGCGCTCGAAAAATTAAGTTAGTACCTTACATTTCATACAGTTATTATACCTACATAGATATCTTATTAAATTAATTACTAAATATCTATTTGGAATAACTTGGAATAATAATCCTTTCTTTTAAAATAGTACTGGTAATTGGAATATTTATTATGTAAAATGTTTATATTTCATTAACTAATAAATACCTCCTAGTAAGCAACTCCTATATTTTTAGTTATTTATGGAGTACCTATGTATTAAGCATTGACTTATAATAATAAATATATCTTTATTCTTTATTAACAATAAAATATTATTACATATTATAAAACTATTTAAATGACAAATATGGAACAATACTAATTAAAATATTTTCTTTTTTTTTTGTTCACAAACTCTTTTATAATACTTGACCAATCAATACTTCTAATCATCTCATTTTCTATTGACAGCCATAGGCGCACATTGGGTGTGAATTCAAGGGGTGCTGGGATAATTTATGGTTCACACCTCCTAATCCTAAAGGCCTAATCCTAAATCCTGCATTGCATTAGATTTAATTTGTATAGTGTATACAATAATTTCTAAAGTGCAATGTATCAAATAGTCTGTATGATTGTAAAGAAGACGCTAGGTACGCTAGGTACACCCACATGTGTTGTCTCCGTATTACAGACGTAGGTACAACATAGGCAAAACTGTTTTGCACGGGTATAAAAAACATTCAGGCTCTACTCTAAGCTAAGAAACTAAATGTTCACACTATAAAAATGAGAAAATTTACTCTGTAACTTTGTTTTTATATTTCCGATATCAAAACCAAAATAAAAGTTATTTAAGTTTGATAAACAAAAAAAGGTGCTCTGCTGTACAGTAGGGTACAAGTGGGTCGCTGTATAATCGATGGTATTAAATTTGAATTCAATGATATACTAACATCATTGTATAAGAAAAACGATTCTGAGCGAAGACGGTTAGTCAGCCTATGATATTACTAAGTATATTTGATGATACTAAGGTGAATAAAGCAATTTATATATAACCTATTTACGTAGAATCTTATTTTAAATTTTCAATCATTAGCTATAAAAGTTGAACATATAAATTTTTAACAATAAAATTATTATTAAATTTTAAATGTGATAAATTTTGTCAAAATTTGAATTTTAAATAATTATTAAAAAAAATTGTGCCTATGTATTTTTAATATTTTTATTTTACAAGTGTTATTGTAACAATATATCAGGAGCTTTGCATTACATTTTCAAGCTTTTTTACCATACAAATAAAATTTTATTGATATGAATAGAAAAAAAAATTAAAATATTGAAAACTGAAAATGTCCGTAAATAGCTCAAAAAGAATCAAAATATTTTCAAAACTATATGGTGTATAGGAAATGCTAATATAAAAATTTAGTAAAATTTTCAAGTATCTACAGTTATTCGTTTTTTAATTACAACAAAATTAGAAAATCGTTACACGAGAAATCGAGTGAATATCAAATGTTGTGAAAATATGAATTTCAAACGTTCATAAAAATTTAATTTGAGATTCTTGTAGACATTTTTTTTTTTTGATAAAGGTAGACAAACTTATGAGGAATCTTGCATTACATTTTCATATCTTAGATTTAAAAAGAAAATTTTTTATGAATTTCTAACTCGAAATAATTTGCAAATTTTCGTCATTTTCACGTATTTTGTCAATATTTGGAATTTAAATGCTTATAACAATTTGACCCCCCCAAAGTACCAACTAGATTCACTTTCCTATCAGAAAAGATACTGTTGAAGAAAATCCAAGCACTTTTACTGCCCTAAAAGATGATGACGGACAAAAAAAAAAATGAATTCGTGAATTCGTAAACAGTTGTTAATATTTGTAATGAAAAGAAAAATTCCGAACCAATAAACCACGATAGTTTATAAATGATTGGTGAAATACTGAAATAAACTGAGGGTGCTAGTTTGAAGCTTGCATATAAATGCCCATCTCATACTATGACATAATTTTATATACATAATTTATAACGTTTAATAGTACATTAGTATGATAGTTCTAATTATTATTAGTTGTTTCTTAAACCCGAGTTTTCCATTATGTCATACAATTTGTATGTTTTCTTTTTGACTCTGAGATACAAAAAAAAAAAAATTACAAAAATGTACCGCCCCCAAAAAACTTCCGCCCGGGGCAAATGCCCCTTTTGCCCCCCCCCCCCCCTTAATGCGCCCCTGACGTCGTTACACCGAAATGCGTGATTTTATTTGTTCTATTTTTCGTTAAATTATTCTTAAATAATAAATCAATAAATAAGTTTTAGAGCAAAAGTTTTTATAATTTTTTTTTTAGATATCTGGTCAGTATAATAATTAATGAGCTTTATAATTATAAGCCTATATACAGCAATATTAACAATGTGTCAATTTTTACTAAATGGCAGTCAGTCACTAATCACAGCGGTCTTAACTTATATAAAATCAATAAATTATATATTAAAACTATTAATGAACGTAAAATTTTCATATTTAGGAACTAGTAGTCCCTTTTTAAGCGTTCAATAATAGATGAACGTGAACGCGAAGTAATGAACTTGTTCATTTTTAAAGGAACTTTCCAAGCACCGGTATATACTGTCATGATATATCATGATCAGTATATAATGCAGTAATCATGTATAATTGGCATATAAATACAGCACGTCACTCGATTATTTTACTAACGTTTTCTCAGATTTTCCAAACGTACCCCGACATATATGGCACAATAAATTCTAATTTATAAATAACGGTCTCTATACTCGCAGCCGTCGTACGAAACGTCGAAACCGCGTAATCTTCCTACAATCCGATGCGAGGATTGCTTGAATAATAAATGTTACTTATTGTGCATCCAACAACTTGACACAAGCGTAATCCTTGGGAAACGGACGACACGAATCGTCGATACAGAAACGATCGACACTATCGTTTGTCCACAGTACAACATATATAGGTGCCTAATGCCTATACACTATAATATATTACGCGACGCAAAAACGGTTGGTCATAACTCACGCTTCACAGGTAGATAGGTACCTATAACTCATCGAGATTTTAGGCCGGAATTCCGTCGCACTTGCGCACAACACTATAACCACGGTTGTGTCACTATTGGTATACGTTATTATAAGCACTTGTGGACACGAATGACGAATAACAAAAAGTAATATCTCGAGAACGGTATACGATTGAGGACGGATTCGCAGACAACGGCCGCCACGACCTCTTTGTAAAAGATTGACCGACGGAAATACCCATAGAATAATATACTATATTATAATGTATTTATCATCTATGAAGATACCGCGGTTACGCATTCCTGGCCATTCAGCACGAGTATATACCGTGAACAATTTGTTCGGATTTCTCGGACGCGTGTCTACCGCGGTTGGACTTGTCTAAATATAAAGACCATAATTATTTATACAAACCCTCCTAGAAGCCGTTTTTTTTTTTTTAATTTCTATGCTACTGCGTGATGACTATTTTACATTTTTGGTTTCTCCTCTATCGGCCAAACACTGCATATTTCTTAATGTACTTTTTAAAGTATTATATAGTGTTTTAGTGTCTCCAAAAAAGAACAGGCATGATTGATTGTAAATTAACTTTAAATACAGAGTGGGGCGGTGAAACATGTGATTTTAGTATACAGTTTTATAAATGTAATATTATATCCTATAATAGGGGCATATTGATTATTTGTTGGTGTACTATATACTTAAAATGTTATTAAAAACCAAGACATAGATTGAAATACATATAGCGGTCACGGTGCCACTGCAATACAATAATAAGGATCTATATTAGAATACTGTCTAGGCGGGCAAAAAAATCGTTCCTCGAGAGAATAGACTGTAGAGTGACGTTAAAGGATATATATTATTAAATAAATTATTTTTATGTAATGGAAAATAAAAGTCCATAGGGGATTCAGCCGTTGGAATTATCGTAACGCATATCATATTTCAGCGTACGTTGCTATAATAAACGAAAGTTTGAATATACTGTTCGAGTGTATAGTGTATACGTGTCGTATATAATTATGGCATACATGCGTGCAGGCGAACAATACGACAAAAGCTAAAACATTTAATCCCTTCGGAGCTCGCTACAGGGTGATTTTTTTTAAACGTATAATCCACTTATTTTCTCATTCAACTCTGTGGTTTTGAATTTTATCATCATATATAATATTATATAAGTTTAAGTACCTACCTACATATTTATTACATACATTTTTATATAAAAAAAACCAATTTTCACTATTTTTTTTTTTTTAATAATAATCGTTAGGATCAAAAGCACCTATCTAGCAAAAAATTGAACAATTGACTAAAAAAAATGAAGACACTTCTTACGTTAAAAAAATCACACTGTACATAATATATGATAGGCTCCTGTATAGAATATATTAATATATATAAATATATTTATTGATTGGGTCATGCCTTTAAGTTAAACCTATACATAAGCTCGTTTTAAATAAAATGCCACGTTACCTATATAAATATTAAATCCATAAAATCGATAATCCTATGCAAGTCAGTATTTTGTACACTATAATTATATTATTAATTTGCAGTGTGTTTTTTAATAATTTGTGTAACGAATTGAGTTTGCTTGTTTTGCAGGTAGTCAAAACGTTCAACCCCGAAGCACAGTGTTTCCGGCCCATCGATTCGGTAGCGTCCAGCTTGAGTTCTCTGAGCATTTCGCCACCGGACAAGTGTTCGGTCGGTTCGCCAACGCTTGGCAGCGGTTCCAACAACTCGTCGCCGACGCATCATAACCACCTCCACCACCACCACCAACAACAACACCATCCTCACCACCAGCAACAGCAAATACAGCTACAACAGTCGCAGCACAATCCGCTGTTGTTCGGCAAGCCATGTGGCGGAAGCAGCAGCAGCAGTAGTAGCAGCAGCAGCAGTAGCAGCAGCAGCAGCACTGCAAGCAACGGCAACAGTCAGCAATCGCCGCTGCAGCAGCAGCAGCAACAGCAGCCGCGGAGCCCGAACGGTGCAGGTCCGGCAGTCGCGGTCGCGGCCGGCGCTTACGTGCCGTGCCGACAGCCGTCCGTACCGTTGACTTTCACCACGGCATCGTTCGCGCAGACCAAGTTCGGCAGCACCAAACTCAAGTCCAACAACAAACGAGCTAACAGGTTTCTGATGACTGATTTTATAGAAAAGTAGGCGGAAACGTACCTACAGTTTTGACCATGACGATGCGTTATATGTGCCGTATTGAATTTTTGCGTTGACGATGTGGTGGATTGAAGAGTATACAGTTGGGTGGGTGGGTGGCCGTGCCATGGGAAGCATATAATACCCCACACGCAGTGACGTCAACGGTTGTTTTGAGTTTAGGCAGAATGTTAATTATATTACCGTACGCACTCTAAATAATAATATTATATACGTACGGGGCTAAGGGCTGGGTTTTACAGCAAGTCAGCTATATATTCACAATTTAAAGACATTTTAAGTTTTCTACTTTTTTAGTTTTCTTATTTTTCAATTTATGTTGATAAATGATAACGTTTTAAAATTAAAATAAGGTTCTTTCCCCATAAGTTTTTCTTGTAGTGATTCAAAAATATCGAAAATACCTATAATCAGAAATAATTTTTATAACCATCGACAAAATTGGATAGGTATATTTTCCTCGATCGTTGTTTTGTTGCTATTCGAAAAGTATTAACCGTAGACAATTTAAACATTCCACCATTAAGTGCATAGGCGCAATTTCAACATTTGACTTGGCGGGCTGAATATATTAAAAGCAAGCAGACCATTGCAATATTCAAATTGTATGTCCTAAGTTTTTTTTTTAGGGGGGGGGACCTACGGCTAAGTTTGGGTAGGCTTAGCACCCCCAAGCCCCCCCCCCCCAATTTGCGCCTATGATTAGGTGCCGGAATTATATAACTTGTATCATTATTTTAAATCAACTCGACTATATTTGTTACGTTAATTGCACTTTTTATAATATATATTTCCTATATATAGTTATTAACTATACTGTCCCGAATCCTCCTTCGTTTAAATAATGCCTAGCGGCATCCATATTATATTAGCTCAACCCGTATTATAGAGTTTGATGGAATGGACTGATCCAACTATGGTTGCATTATTTCAATAAGATTATTTGGGGTGCCTTTGCCTATAGTATATGTACTATATAGAGTATACCCCTTTCGCCCCGCGTAAATTATTATTTATTGTAATGACATTAGAAGGGTTGACGTCGGTGGTCGCACGTGAGTTGAGGGTTAGAGCCGGTCACGGACGACTTTAAAATATACTTGATAATATATACGTATTAATGTACCTATTATACTTTAATCTTTGGGTGTGTGCCAAAAAGGCAGATAGTTTAGTCACCAATCTATATCATAGTAAAATTAAAAAAGTATTCTCAACACGAACTGTGTTTTCGTCCCAGTTCGCGCATGTGCATCGCCTTGTGTTTATTGTTGGTTTCATATATAAATAATTATACATTGCCCATTAAAAAATATCCGCAGTCTTATCGTTGAGCATACTTATTATTCCTTATACTATTGACCTATATGATAATTTATAGAGACGTATCCTATCATGTATATATACGATAGACGTGAATTTCGAGACGAGACTTCAAGTGATTTTATATTACTTATATTATGGCTATATGTGCATAGGCGCAAGTTTCATTGGCAGGGTAATTATGTAGTAATACGAACAAAATTACAAGTTCAGTAACCACCTAGGTACCGAGATAAAGTAGCATATGCTACTAGATATTTTTCTTTTGCAAGGAAAACATTGAGGAATCGTAATATATATGTTTTTGAGTGTAGTGCAGAGGAAAACTATCTTGTAGCGCATGATATCTTAGATTGATTTTTAGAATAATAATTGTTGATTTGCGTTTCTATGGCGATATACTAATGGTTAAGCAAAATCGGTTAAAAAAAAAATGAGTTGTATCCAGCATTCCAGCCTAAGAACACATTATATCTATGATGAAATTGGACACTTCCCCGCGACCCCGCTAAAACAAATACAGTAACAAAATCACGTAATTATCAATATTACTGTCTCCGTAATATTATAAAATTAAATAAACTGTAACTATTTACAGCAGTTATAACTCATCTATATAGGTAACTTCTTTAACACGTATTACCGGGGAAAATTTATGAATGTTAATAATTATTTCATTTGATTTATGAATACTGAGTTTTTATTCAGAAGTAGGTACAATTTATATTCGATTTTATCGCTTTTTATTCGAGGTTATAAAAAATGAGCCCTTTCTCGGGTCTGGGATAGCGCTTTAATAGTGGTTTACCCTGAATGTACCCCGTGCGCACGCCTTCAGCGATGCCTATGTGCTTGCCCGTTTGGAACATCCTGTATATACACGCACCTGTTGCGTGTAATTAATTGTGCGCGTATTGGTAGTTGCGACCGATTGGGCACGCGAATTATCGCGGCATGTATATACCTTTTCCTCTCGCACTCCTCCCCCCCTCTCTCATTTTGCATAGAGGTCACTCCGTCCGTCCGTATTGCGAAACGACGTCATTGCGCGGTCGCGGTGGGCCTATATTACTGCAGATAATAATATTTTACATATATATACATAGTATACAATAGTATTATAATATGTATATGTATACTTATATACTTACGAACGAGGCTACGCGCCTATAAAAGGTGTCAAACGAATGGCGCCAATACTCGCCAATATACCAAACGCGCACGACTAATTGTGACAGATGTCCCCAAAAGCTTGCAGATAATATTTCGGTTGTTTTTTCGGTTATTGAACCGACAATCTGCACCTAAAAAGAAATACACACGTGTTTATAATAATAATGACATGTCGTCTGTATGTGTACCGTGGACGTAATCCGGATCTGGGTCATATTCTGTAGAAAATATTATCTTTTTTTTCATAATTATTATTTTCGTAAACAGACAGCCTCTGAAAATGCTTAAAGCATTCTCAAATCGATATGATATCGAGCAGCAAAAACAAATAATTTACAAAAACTTTAATTGTCTTGATGTAAAATGCCGATATAGAAGGGGGTCCTCCGTGGTTTGGACTTAGGATCAGTGTAAATATTACCTGATTAATATTATCATCATAATATATATAAATTGAAATGAGCTTTTATAGGTTTATGGGCGTAATAACCGATAAATAGCAGCCATTCAATACGATACTTTCACTTCCTAAAAAAATTCTATTGGACAACGTGTTGCGGTGACGATGGTCAACACACCCACTGCATTATACATTTATTCTCTTTGAATATTTACATCGATTACGGTAGCAGTAAACATTTTTCAAAAACGAGTAATGTGTATATAAATGTACACAACAAGCGTATATAGTTTACTTACATATTATAATCAACAACTGACGGCGTTGGAGTTCAAATATTTAATATAATATGTCATCGTCGGTTTTGTGCTTATATGTATTTTCGATTGAGAAACACGTCGTTTGTTAAATTTTACACGAGTAAAAGAGAAAGAGAGAGAGAGAGCAATGAGGATTTATTACATTTTGCTTATCGACGAAAATGAAATCGTTCCTGGGCACGTGGATAAATAAAACGGCCGAAATCCGATTAAAAACTACAAATCAAAATTTAAAACGCCTTATAATTCCACACCCGTTTCGAACACTATTCTGCTCGTAATATTGAACCTATGTGAACAAATTCCATTGTTGTAAGGTGTTTATTATGGGTTACGATGGGTACCTACACATCAAGCGTATATACCTATATATACAAATACAACAATTATAGCTGATACTTTATAGAATTATCGTACCTACCAAAAATAAAACGTTTAACAACTATAATAGATACTTAGGTACAAGAAAACATCAGTGGCGGAATAACGGACGAGTGGAAGGTCCAGGGGTACTGGTTCATCCTCTCCTATACCTATTCTAAATAATATGTTGAACAGTAATTGTAATTATTTAGTATATACTTTTAAATTTTAATGAATACAATACATAAATAAAAATATACAGTCAATACCTACCTTTTTTTAAAATATAAATTAAGTATCTGAAGTAGGTAGGTACGTACTACCTATATATTATGATTTTTCTGGACGAAAACACTGACTTTATGTATATGACCCTGCAGCATAATAGGTAAACCATAATACCATTTACATTTATTCAATTAATTATGTCAAAGCATCGACAGTAATCTACCTATCTACAATCTACTTAATGTTTATTGTTTTTACAGAGTTTTCTATAGATTACAACAATATTAAATACGTCTTATGGACCATGATGGTCGTAAAAAGTTAAAATGTGTACATATACATTAAATGTAATAAAAGAAAGAAGTCTTGCGACAATCGTAGTTTTGTATTATAATATAGATTTGCGAGGTTTTTTAAAATGGCGAGCTTCTCCGGTTTCATTTATATTATAGTGGGATTGTGGCCTGTAGGAGTTTTTTGAATTGATTAATTATCCACGAAGGGTATTACACGAACCGGAGAGCTTTTAGTAGTGGCAGTAGTGCCATTCTCGGGAATTTACTTTTGGAGAATTTGTTGATTTCTTAATTTTCCGCGAAGGAAGTATACGTACATAATATATGATAACGTACGTATACGTTGGCGCATGCGTCAATGGTAGTACTGTGAGTTATAATAATGTACGAAAAGTGTTTAGCTGAAATCCAACGAATGATGGGGGCACACTGACTCTCGTTATTTTGTTATCCGCAGGATGTCGCCGACCGAGTTCGCTAACTACATCAAGCAGCGGGCGGCCATGCAACAACAACAGCAACGTCCGGCGTCGCCGGTGCAGCAACACCACCGGGGCGGCCAGAATGGCGACGCGGCGTCCAACTACTTCTTCCAGCAGCAGCAGTACAACCACCAAGGCGGCGTTGGCGGTGCCGGTTACCAAAGGCCGCGGCAGTCCAACGGAGGCGGTTATCACCGGAACAGCGGCAACATGGCCACCGCGGATTACGCACCACCGCAATTGCAGTTCGCCAGCGGCGGCGGTAGCGGTTGGCAGAACTTCGGAGGCGATTTCGGGCCACAACACTTTCGCGGCTCGCCCATGGGTCCGCTGTCACCGGCCAATTATGGGACGGGACAACAAATGCAGTCAGCCGTGACTCCGATGCATCAGCAGCAGCAACAGCAGCAGCAGCAACAACAACAACAACAGCAAAAGATGCAGGACAACTACAACGCCATGGGACTGGGATCGTCGACGTCGTCGTCGTACAGGTCCAGTCCTTTCCAACATTTGTTGGTGGCCAACTGATTTCAGCCGGCTTGTCCGACGAGAGACGGTTAAGAGCGCCCCCTTTAACCACCAAACCCCTTCCCCCTCGTGCCGCCCAACGTGGCCCATCTACCCTCTTGACCTAGTTAAACGGTTGAAGACCGACCTACCCCATCCCCCTCCATCCGCCCACCTTGTTATCATTATTATTATTATTTTTTTTATATAATATCCTCTTTTAATATATATCATAATATTATATACATACATAAGTAAACCCCCTGGCGCGCCTTCCCCTTCACCGCCTTTTTAAAGGTAAATAATGAAAGTTATTTACGTTACGTTTTTAGGTATAGATACATCCGTTATTATTATGTTATATTATTTCCGTATTTCCAATTCCCGTATTTTAATCTCGTGGCTGCAGAGAGCTTTTCTCATCCACCCGTCGTTATATCATCTTAAAACATTATAATATGCATATATACTGCTGTTACCTATCGGCTTCTAAAATTATAATTATCTCTATTGACAACATTTTAAATATTATATCGATATAGGTAATTAGGCCAATGCTCGAAAAATACTTCAACTACTTTAATATAATATATTCTATACCATTCGCGCAGACACTTTAAAAAAAATGTTTATTCTCTCCGAGAAAATAAAATAAAATAATATTATATATAATAACAAATAAATAAAATAAAATTTTAATAACATCAATACACATATTACTATAATATGTGATTGATCGCCCACAAGTATTATTATTAGTTTTTTTTACACTATTTTTCTTTTCTTATTTTTGACTAAAACTTTTTAATATTTTTAAATTAACGCATATATAAATTTATTTTTTTTAAGCAATTTATGACTTATCGTACAGACTTAATGAGATGTTTTTTTAAAAAAAAAAAAATAAAATATTTTTACCAATGAGAGGATTAGACCTTAATTAATGATAATAATAACACGTACATTATATACATAAATATAATATAATATACCTGGAGTCCGATGATAATAATTAAAAATACTTTACGTCTAGGTTAATATTATACTTATTATATACAAGTATACTATATAGAAATACATATGAATATTTGATTAAACAATTGATTTACGATCCATTACATTAATGTGTTATATCAAATACGTGTTCTGTGAACATCAAATATTCAGTTCTCTAAATAGGTACAAAAAAAAAAAAAATAATAAATAAAATTAATTATTGAATAATAATATTAAATTTAATAAACTAATTTTCAAGTCAAAATATTTCGATGTATAGAATCTCCCTAACCTTTATACCTTTTACCTCATCTTTAGGGATCATCTTTTTTCTTCTTCAAATTCCATGCTCTAACATGTAATATATTAAACTGAAACTGAACAGGAACAATCTAATCGCAATAATCGTGAGATATATAGGTGTTTAATAATAATATAATAATAATCATAAATAATATTTGTAATATTGTATATCGGCCTAGGAAATACGTAAAGTAAAAATTAAATATATTATTTAAAATGTCCTTTTGTAGAAATGTAGTAAATTTGTTATGACAATATAAAGAAAATTTAAATTAAAAATTGTTATACTGGAAAATTTATCGATGGATCTCGCCAGTTATTAACTTGTACTTGCATTTTGCAACATAAATCGAGGTTTACTTAAAAAAAAAAAAAATCATTATTATTGTTTTCATCTTTATATCTATAGGTAAATATAATATTATCCAATTAAAAAAATTGCATGCGATTTTTTTTTTTTTTTAATTTTGAAGCTTTAAATTAAAAGTTTTATTTAGTAAATGTTTTATTATAATTTTTTAACTTATTTGGTATTTTTTTACTCTTTATATACATATTAAAGTTATATGAAATACATGGGTTTTTTTTTTAGAGTTAGAAACTATTATTTTTTAAGTAGCGAAATTATCGTTTTAGTAAGTTTTTCTTTTTTTTATTTAATTATAATAATATATTATAATATATACACATATATTATACATAGTAATAAAAATAAATTCATAAACATATATATTTTTTTGTGATTACAATTTAAGCCGTAGGGCATTTTTTTCATGTACTAAAAATGTAATGCATATACTTATATAATATATATGTATTATGTATATAATATACGTATACCTACTTGCATATATTTAATATTTATATTTAATATGAAACGAAAAATTGTATTTTTTACTTTGCACTTTATTTTTTTTTTTAATGAATATAATATATATATGTCATATGAGGTTACCTATATATACCTATATACGTGTACCTAACTGTATACCTAAGTATTGAACGTTTTGCTACTCGACCGAAATGTTTGTCTGACGTGTTATAATTATTATAATATAATATTAATTATTATTACATACATTAGGTACCTGAATTTATAGTAAAATGTATATTGTTATTGTTTTCTCCAAAACATATTAGGTTTTTGTGTACACGACGGCCCTCCTCGCCGACAAAAAAACGAATCAGTATCCTTATAGTGTCATACCTACCTATATAATAAATATAAAATATAACTTAGGTTTAAGAGTGCTTTTGGTCCCACTGTCTTCCAATGTGAAATACCTCCTCCACAACAATAATGTCGTTAAAGAATGTCGTACGCTGATATATATTGGTGCCTTCCTACTTGTAGGTAATAATATATTATTGTATTTACGTGTTCATGTATTATTGTCTCCCCGTCCCAGCCCTCCTTCCACCAAAACAAATAAATATAAACTTAAAATAAAAAATAGATGTTTAAAATAAAAAAGAAGACTGTTTTTTTACGACGTAGGTACATATAACCGTAATATCAGTTGACCGACTTTCGCGTAGGTATAGCGAATGAGAGGAGTCCCTGACGCTCCCGCCCACCCCTCAAATATAAAAAATAAAAATTCAAACACGTAAAGTGCGACTGACAATTTTCCTTTAAAATCGTTTTCAATTTATTTTCTATAATTTCTATCATATACTATATTATAGTTTCTACACATGTCTTATTTTATTAGATGATAAATTATAATAATAACAATAAAAACAATAAAAACAATAATAATATATTACATAACAGACAATCTATAAAAATATAACATTTAACTATCTGCATACATTAAAATTATATTATAATTCAATGTACTTAAGTACACCTGTATTGCTTACATATAATATGCCTTCTAATTAGGTACCTTCCCTACCTGCCGACAATAAAACATAAAATTATTAATAAGGCTCTCGAACCGACCGCGGTGACGTTATCATTGTAATAATATTATAATAAATAATTTCTTACATTTCAGACGGTTCATATTTTTTTTCTCCTCGCGATTGCCCGTAAAACTTCGAACACAATATTATAATAATATCATTTTACTATGTACCACCAACGAAGACGCACTCTTGTCAAATCAATATATTAAATAATTTAAAAAGCGTATGAAAATATAAAAGGCCCATCGCGTGTTCTTTTATTATTAGCTGATTGAAAACGACAGATTTCAGAAGAAAAAAATCGGCGCGCTTCTCTCTCGACACACAAAGTCCCCATTTTTTTCCAAACCCCCCCCCTCCGCCAACCGTAAATACCCATACTGCAAATAAGTATTACGTGTATAGGTAATATTATTATGACCGATAATAGCCACGCAGATCGTTAAAATAATATTGAATGCCGTATTCTTTCAGTTTCCCATGGTCCTTCCGGGAAAACTAGATTTCGCACCATTTTCTTGTCACCACTGCGGTCGTGTTTCGAGTGATGATTACCTAATATTAACCGTATCACAACCACCGCGAGTTTTTCTGCATTTTATTCGCAAAGGCATCCGCGATATATTTTTACACGTCCAACTCGACGGGTACCTAAAACGTTAATAATAATAATTATTTATTAAAAAATATTAACGCAATGTTTCGTAGGTATCGCACTGCAGCCCCGGACTCGATCTTTTTTTATTATCCACACACAACCGTCGTGTTTAGACACTCATTTTGTCGGTCAACTTTTTTTAAATATTTTTTACTCGATTTCCGAAAACCATTTTAGTACCCACAGCATAGTGTAATAATATTATTATGAATATTTTTGTCCGTCGACGGGCCGACCGTCGTTTAAAGTTTGGGTACGCATTTTTTTTTTTTTTTTATCAATATTTATAAACGATAAACGCGTCAAATCTAATATTATATTGAAAGCTCTCCTTTGAAACCACCCGTCAACAGTCGGTCGCGATCGGAATAAAAGTTGAAAAGTACGCAGATTTTGTCACAAAACATTTAAAGAATAGGTGTACCGTATTCAGAATTCGATTGGCTTGGGACCCGCGTCCGAGAGAACTCGCCTTGTAAATTTCAGTAAAATTATCGGCTGATCCTGATATCCGTCATTCGACGAATAACACAATAGGTATACCAGGGGTACCGCGGTAACCACGACGCTAGGCGGGTAGGGCAGGCATATACTGGAAATCACAGACCACGAAGCGCGCCTAGAACAATTATTAAAATGTCATATATTAATTACTATAACCACTATTTGTTTTTAAAGTTCAAATTAAAATCTCAGATATTATGATTGTATTACGTGAGAATAATGTAAAAATTACTTATGTACACTACTGCGGTCTACGAAAGCGCTTATATTTTTTTGACAAAAAAAAAAAAAAAAATCATTTTTTTATCAAGATATAATATACTTAATAATATTATTAAATATAAATATACACTGAACCTCTGATTACGGGAGTATAATATTATGTGGTAGACATTTTCACTCTATTTTTTCTATTTTTAACCATATCAAAACAGAAATTGTTTTTGAATATTTCAAATCTTTATTAGACTTATACATTATAAATATATTATATACATGCATAACAATATTTATTATTATTGTACATAATTTTGGAGTAAATTATGTTTAAGTTATTTGTAAAACATTGGCTAGACCAATTTCTCGGTGTTACAAGTTACCTAAATAGAGTAAAGAAAAAATATAACTGTATTAAAACAATGTATGTTTCAGCAGTTTTAAGACTTAGGACCATTTTTCATTTTTTGCTTTTTGATATATTATATAAAAAAAATATATATTACACAATAAGCATGTATTTTATAATTTTGTTTTTACATTAATAAATCTATAATATGGCATAATAATAATATATATAATAATGTAATTTTAGTTGTTTGAAAATTTTTCTAAAATAATATTATAAACTTCGAAAAGAAAAATTTTATTTTAATGGTAATGTTTTGTTATAAAAAAAATTAATAAATAATAAATTATATTATTAAATGTTTTTTCTTTTTATAAAAAAATAGTTTAACATATATATATATACATACATAATGTAATAGTTTTAAGAACAAGTCACATACTAGTTGAATTTAAAGGGAGTAACATAAAACTATATAAATCAAATATAGAAAAAGAAAATGTAAATTACCTTTGTCATATACAGTCAAAAATAAGATTGTTTAAACTAAGTTAAAATGATTAGGTATTGACAGTTAGTAATCAAATAATAATATAGATCTTGTAAAGTATTTTTTATATACAATAATGTCTGAACAGCACAAAAAAAAGTTAATGGGAATATTTCTGGTTGATTGAAAAAAAAAAAATAATATTACAATATGTAAAGGCTTGGTACATATGAAGTAGGACAACACATATTAAAACATTAATAGTAAGGGGATACATAGTCAAATTAAAGTGAACAATATAAACAATGTCTAATTTTAATTAAAATTAAGTCTTAACACAATAAATAAATAATAATTTAAATACATATTACTTATTAAATAAAAAAAAAAATATTTATAGTCAATATTGAATGAATTAGGTATTCTGCTAACAATATAATTCTTATATTTATTATTTAATGGATATCTAAACCATCATAAATAATAATAATAAAAAAAAGTTACATTAAAATTCAGTACATTTTGTAACAATATACGACAATAAATATTTAGTTGACAATATTAAATTAAAAATGAATAATAATAATAAAAAAAAACAAATCAGTCGGGGACAATATACTAATATAGTAGCTAAAATGCTAAATATTTTTTATTATAATATTGAATTTGAAGCATGAAATTATTTATTTTGGAATTAATGTTAAGATTTCAACATTATAAACAACTAACAAAACAAAATATAAATATAATGTATTCTAGTGTAACTTTAAAAAAATGAATAAGTTACATCATTAATGTGCATTTAAAGTCATGATTATCTTTTACTAATATAATCCTTTTTCAAAAAAAAAAAAAAATTTATTATATGGAATAGGTAATTTTTTAGTTAATAGCTATTAGGTTCACCTATTGTTAAAAAACTACAGAAATTATATAATCAATATAAATAAAAATATTCGATTCTAACAATCAATTAAAAAAATTGGATATAAAACTATATGTTTAGTTGTAACTTTATTATTACAACAATGTGATATACACATGTCATTCCAATTTTTTTAAAAGGCTATTCAAATCTACCTTTTCTTCGACTTCACATTGCATGTCAATGTCGGGTGAATCCTCTTCTGGGCACGAATAAACACTGTTATGATAGTAATTATACGAAACTTCCGGTTCCGGTTCTTGAATAATACCTATATTATTATAATCTGATTCATCAATGGGTTCTTGTTTTTGATGAAATGTTTCGTTATTCCTTTCAACTTTAACAACACCATAATTTGGGTTGAAACGTATTACATCCATATGGAGATCGCCGTATACATAATTATTTTGTACAACTGGTTCTTCTTTTACTGGTAATAATGATTCTGATTGTGGCATTCTAGGTAAATGGCCATGAAATTCTTCCATTGAGTTAAAATCAGTCAAACATTTTTGACAGTAGATTAAATTTTGCATTCGGCAACAAGATCCTGTCTCAGTCAAATGTTTGAAAAAGATGTGTTCATCAAAGAATAAATTTTCGCAGTTGTTACAAAAAAAGTTATAAGATTTTAACAGCCGTTGTCTAGCAGTATTACAATAGGTTTTAGAAGAACTAAGAAGTTCTCCATCGTTTATACAATATTTATCCTGTTGTTCTATGTTTTGCTTGACAAATTCCAGTTGTTCTGTAACTTTATTGGTTTCATCTGGTCCCAAAGCATAACGCATTTTCAACTGGAAGTATATGCAATTAGAATTGGCATGCAATAAACTTAAATTGTCATCGGTACTTGTAAAACTACAATTCATACATTTATGATTGATTTTATTATTGACTATTCCCAATTCAAAAGATTTACAGTACAGAACATGATTGCGAAATTCTCTAGAAGATAAATTTGTGAAAATTGCTGAGCAATAAACACATCCATAATGATTCAATGATTTGTCACCAACTAGCATGGTATTTGTGCAGTTTTCAAGATGCTCAGTAAATTGTTCATTGAAATAACTTTTATTACACAGAGGGCATAATTTTATTTCTTTATCTTTTACTGTAATTAAATTCTTATGCTTAATCTTACTATGTTCTATAAAATGGTGAATATTGTTAAAATATTTTGGACAACGATAACACTTAATACTTCCGTTGTCTTTAATTTTCTGTTTGCAGGTTACTGTGCCAGGTACATCCAAACCAACTTTTATGTGGTCTAGTTCGGTTTTCTTAATATTAAGATTCTGTTTTTGACGAGTACGCGCTCGGTTGTGATTTGTGACAACTATTGCACAATGATTTATCAGTTTATGTAGAACTAATTTGGTCATTGTCGTGAATGTAAGGGAACAACATTTATACATTTCTGAAAGGTTTTGATGCGTGTGACTCATCATAACCGATCTTCTCGGACAAGTTAACACACTAAAGCATTTATTACATAAATAAGTTGAACTGTTAAGGTTTAAATGAGTTCGGTAATGTTGAATGAAGACCAATTTATTGGGAAATACAGAATGGCAATTTTCTATGAGACAGGCATACGGTTGGGAATGTTTAGAACAAAATAATATATGATTATACGCGACACCATTTCGCGACACCTCTTCGTGCTGGTAAGTGCAAAATATACAAACACATTCTGCTATACAAGATTTATTTTTGTCATCAACTTCTGATTCAGGATAAGTTTTTTTATTTCCATTTGGATACCAGACTGGATTATCTCCTGTTGATGAAATTTCGTTAACGATATATGATGGAACAATTTCTATTGATGATGATGATGATGCAAATGGAATAACTTCTGCTGAAGTTGATGCGAATGGAATAACTTCTGCTGAAGTTGATGCGAATGGAATAACTTCTGCTGAAGTTGATGCAAATGGAATAACTTCTGCTGAAGATGATGCAAATGGGAAAACTTCTGTAGAACTTGACGTGGATGGGATAAATTCTGCTGAAGATGATGCAAATGGGAAAACTTCTGTAGAAGTTGACGTGAATGGGATAAATTCTGCTGAGGTGGATGCAATTGGGATAATTTCCATGGATGTTGATTTCGAGGTGGATGCAATTGGGATAATTTCCATGGATGTTGATTTCGATGTGGATGGAACATCTGATCCATATTGAGTATTTATTGATTGAAATTGATAAATGGACGCTGAAGTTGATGGTTGGATAGATTCTAATGGCGATTGAATCATGGCATTAGATGTTGATGGAATTTCAGGTATTAACGAGGTGCTTTTTCTTTTATTGGATCTTCTTGATGTTTTTTTCTTCTTTTTGCTTGGAACAGACAAGGGTTGTGTCGAGGGTTGCATCGAGGGTTGCAAGGGTTGTATCGAGGGTTGCAAGGGTTGTATCGAGGGTTGTGTACTCAAAGCCTGGGAAGCGAGTAACAAATTGTTCTATAACAAAAAAATAAACTTAAGTTCAAATTTTCACAATATTTCAAACATTTTTGAATTACTCATCAGTTAGAAATTCATAAAAGTTTTTTTTCTTAGCTAACATTAGAAATATCAATAGAAGGTTCCTAACAAGTTTTTCTACCTTTATCAAAAAGAAAAGTCCACCTGAAAGTTGTGCTGTTTATAGCCATGAGATATTTTTGATTTTTATTAATTTTTTTTAACTATTAAATTTGATTATTTATACAAGTATGCTAGGCTGCCATAACGTCGTCTCTGCTCATAATTGTTATTCGTATACAATGATTGAATTTAAATATAACACATTTATTCCAATGACATGCTCGACAACTACTGTACAGCAAAGCTATAGCAGTACTGTACCGTCATGCTGTACTCACTTAAGCCCACCTTTTTTTTTTAAAAGTGATATTGTCATGATGATTGAGGAACTTTTTGTTAAATTGTCAATCTTTTTGACCCCTAGGAAAAAATTGTATTCACATTTACAGAAAAAAAATTAAAATTATAAAATAAACATAAAGTGTAAATACTAAATTTAACGTATCAACAGTTATTTGTTTTTGAACAAAATCAGAAAATCGCTCTGTGAGAAATCAAGTAAATGTCCAATGTTTGAAAATTATACAGATTTGGGAATAGGATTAGATAACAGTGTTTCCTAAATCAAAGTCCTAAAAAAATCCTACTTAATTTTGGATCATATTCAGTAGTTTAATTTCTATTTAAATAATAAACATTTAACTAACATACCAACTATACACCCTCAAAAATTAATTATGTTAGTTAAGAAAAATACATTCAAAATAACATTTTCAAATTATAAAAGTTTAAAATTTCAATGAAAAAAAAATGTTCAAGCTTACAACTGTAGGTATAGACCAGGAGTCTCCAACCTTTTGTTTGGCATCGGGGGCTAACATTTTTAGAGGAATAGATCGGTTAAAAAATTGAAGAATAGATAAGATTTATTTAGAAAAATGAATGTTTGTTTATATACTTTTTTTTATTTTATAATGAGTTTTTATATTATAAGTTAGTATACTTAGTATATAGGTAAAATGACTATAATAAGCTGTTCCGAATAACACCAAAATAAAAAAAAAAATTAATTAATTTTATTCAGTTAATTCAATAAATTAAAAACAATAAAAACTAAATGAAAATAATATAATAAATATAATAATTTTCAAAATATTAATTAGCTTGGGGGGCCAAATTCGGCCTGCAGGCTGTAGGTTGAAGATCCCTGGTATAGACCATAGATAGGTCTAACTATCAATTACAGTAATAAACTTTTAATCAGTGGCAAATGCTGAATCCGAAGTATGGGCATCATCATTATCATAATGTATTATAGTTCTATTTAATTTATAAATAAGACTTTAATTTAGTTAATATTAATTATATAAAAAAATTTGGAAAATCGGAATAACCGGTATTCCACAGCGATAATTAGCGTTGTATAGCTTGTGCACACAGCTATCGGTTGCTCTATCAGTAAATGATAAAGATAAATAAAGATAAGTATAACAGAAATAGATGACATTTTTGTCATACATTATGATTTTTTTAAATACGTAATAATATTAGTACTATATTATTATTGATGACAAAAAATGTTTGAATTTTTATTAACTACTTTTTTATTGTTAAGCATGCGGAGCATGCCTGGAGAATTATAATTATCGTTAACATACTTTATGTGCTAAATAATCCACTACACACTGATTTAAGTGAACTTTCTCGATTTGTCCTTGCCAAATATGAATCTTACGAATGCAGTATTGACATATCTTGGTTGATTTGCCATCATTGCCTTTAATCTAAAAATAAAATTTCAATATAATTATCATTTTGTCACATAATATTTTACTTGGTATTTGGTGGAAAAAGTATCTATATATTTATATGTATTAAAAAGTTTAATGTTTTTATAATATAATACTAGCTGAAACCGCACTTTTTTTTGTCTGAAAAAAAAATGACAATTCTAAAAAAAATTATGATTGTTCAACTCCTTTTGGGCTCCTGATGTATATCAGTTGCCGCCTCAGGTCTTTTATTGAGTATATTGGGTTTACAAATTAAGATTAGACTTTCTACAGATGTTATAGAGCCCAACCAAAATAACTGTTGTGATTGTAATATTTTTGCAGATCTAAAAGCTGCATACTTTGTTCAAGCGGCAAAGCTGGGCAAGTTAGTCATTTTTTTTCAACTAGTTGAAGTTAAGTTACTTTAATAAAAAAACTAACTAAGTTAGAATATAAGTTAGTTTCTGAAACTGTCCAAATTTCTAACTTAGTTTGATGAAAATAGTAACTTAAGTTAGACTAGAAGTTAGAAGTTAGTTTTTTTTTTATAGATTAAAAAACTTTTTTGTTCAAATGTAAATAATAAGTTATCTAACTTGGATTATTCATGAAAACTGAAAAATTTAATTAAACACCTAATAATTAATCAAATGTTCTAATTAGGTAACAAATAAATTCAATTTTTTAGAAATTAATTGGAATATCGGTTATTAGAACATAAATGGTGAAACAAAATAAAAAAAATAATACAACAGTATAACAACATAAAATATAAATATTAAATAATAACACATAATAGTCATAATATTATCTATATTTATTCAAAATATTTGTTAAATTTTAATAAAAGTGTCATCTCGAAGTTATCATCAGACATAGACCCACGCCTTTCATCAAATAATTGGCCTCCTGCACTAAAAAGTCTCTCGAGCACTAGAGGGAATACTTGTATTATATTGAATATACAGTTTTTGTATTTCTTCAGAAAATACAGTTAATGGTAGTTTAGGAGAAGAGTTTGAATAATCATTAAATACCGTTTTTTTTTTAAATATCGTTAAATACATTTTGAAGTTTATCTGTTTCTGGATTTTCTATAGCATCAAAATGTAAAAAATCATCATATGTGATTTCATTGGTATCATCATTTAAAATACGGTCAGTGTTCTGTACAATAAGCTCAGACAATCTTGCTTTTAAACAATCTTTTAGCTCATTAACTGTTTCTACTTCAGCCCAATTCCACTTAAACTTTGGTTCTAAAATTGCAGCTAATTTCATGTCTAAAGATTCAAAATTTGAATCAAATCTATAAATGAAATATTTCATAAATAACAGTTCTCAGTCGTCATGTGATTGTGTGCGCGATTCTAGAATAATCGCACGTCGCGACAGTAGATATTACTGATATTGTGATAATATATTAATATATTATATTGTTAAATATAGGTAATACTGTAATAGTAATATAGGTAAATGGGTAAACCACCGATAACACTACCAAGAAAATTCGGAACCGGGTCTAGTGTCTAATGTCTACACTCGGTTTAAGCCACCCGTATTGATACTATATTACTATTTATATCTACTTTCTACAGATTACGCGGAAAAGCCATGGTTCCCATGCGTGCATTATTATAAAAAATACTAATAATTAATATATTCTATGAGCCTATAATCTATATAGGCATAAATATAGGTGTAGTAATAATGTCATGATAAAGGAACAGCTTTTGAAATTTTGGAAATGAAAAAAAAAATAATAATAATGTAATAACTAACTAGTTAGTTTTTTTTTGTAACGAGTTAGATTAGGATTATTTTACGCATTAAATTCAACTCGTTAAGTTTGAAAGTTATTGTGTATTAAATCTAACTAGTTAAATTAGAAAGTTACTTAAAAGTAACTTTCTAACTTAACTTTAACTTTCTAACTAGTTAGTGCCCAGCTTTGTCAAGCGGTTAGTGCACAAGCACAATTCAAGGGGGGGGGGGGATAAAACTCAAAATGTGACCATGAGTTAGTGTAAAATTTTTTGTTTTTAATAAATATGAATGTTTTGACTAAGAGTTATTTGTGTAGAAACAAATCAGTTAAAATGAAGAGATGCTCTTATGTATTTTTTTTCAAGTATGTAGATACCTAAGTAACTTATACACTGAAAACAGCAGGTGTTTCCCTTTTTACCTCGACCGTATAATCCAAAAATATATTAGGGAGGTTAGTATACAGCTAAAAATTATTAATTACTATTATACTTATACAGTAATATACAAATACAAATAGGTATTCAAAAGTTTAACGCTTTTTATAATTTATTAATGTGAGTGACTGTTCGACTCTTTGATGGATGTGTGAACAGCCCCTCCCCCAATTGTATTTAAATATTAAATTAAAATATCATCCTTTAAAAAAATTCTGGCCATGAGCCTGTTATCAATAGAGAACATAAAAAACTTAGAATGAAGATGCGAGTGAAGATGTATTTGTTTATAAGACACCGACAGTTAATCATTTGGAAGATTTATTAAATAGAAATAGAAATGCTCTGGAAACACATCAAAACCTATACTCTTTTCAGAATAATAATGCCACACTCACCCACACGGCAGGGTGCACGGGATCAACGGCAATGGTCTGTGATGGGGGACGGATATGCAAACTAGAACTAAACTTTGTCCGCCACCCTGTGCGTTTTTATTCTGAAAAGTTTATAGTATAACACAGGGGTCTCCAAACTTTTTTATTCAAGGGCCACAAAAAAAATCAAATGCTCTTAGCCGGCCAAAAGTTTATTAACACACATAATTTTTAATTTTATGATAATATATTAGGTACCTACCTATATAAATAATATGTTTACTTTATATTTTTGTATAAAATATTGTTTACTTTCCAATATACTTAAATAAAAATAAATAGGTATAAATATAATATAATATAAATACATTTTTGAAATAATTTTTTTATCTATATTTACCTATGCGTCTTATGCGGGCCACGGGCCGGTTAAAACTTGTTCGAGGGCCGTACTTTGGAGAACCCTGGTATAACATTCTAACATCTCAACTCCAAGAAAAGTGGTTTTATTCAATCATAATATACAGGGGTATGGAGTGGCCGAGGAGACTAAAGCGTTCGATACCTCGGCCATGGTCGGCATTTTTCTTCGGGCAAGTCATGGGGTCCGGAGAACAAATGCCGCCATTCCCCACCCGGGCATAGCAGATACCTAAGAGTGCCCAAATCAAAAATTCTGCCAAAACTACACACACGTGTCCCCCCTACCAACAAAACAAAAAATAGCTAATGGCCTAAGCTGCCAGGCTCAAGTTCAATAAAAAAAAAAAAAAAAATATACAGAAGATTTATTTCAACCATTCCTCAGATATGTAAAAATACTATTTTACATAACCTATACGCTAATAATGAAGACATTTACTAATACTTCATTATAATGCTCTTTATAATGGTAAGATTTTCATTTGTATATAGCATATTAAAACAACATACAATTACTTAGGTAGGTACCACATATGACATATGCAATTGTAAAGTTTCATTAAATCACTTATAATTTAATATTGGAGAAACCAATTCCAATGTTGTTGGAGTTATCAATGGTAAATATTACCATTTTTTTCTTGATGCTTTCCAAAACTACTTGGAATTTTGACCTCTCAAAAGTAAAAACTAGATTCACTTTTCTATCAGAAAAGATGCTGATGTCGAAAATCGGAGCATTGTTAATACCTGATGTTGATAGATAGAAAAATAAACAGACCTTGTAAATGGGTAGGTAGGTATAATAAATTCTTTTGCTTCCCTTATACTCCGGCCCACGAGAATCCATACGTAAACCATGCATCGATATAGTAATACGCGAAGTCTATTTTCTCACAATATGATGCCATTCCCACTATTCAGCAACGTGCCGATAAGCAGTGACAGACGTGTTTTTACGTATTGAATCTCGTAGGCCGGAGTATAGAATCTAAAATGAGTTCAACCTATATACCTAAGTTTGAGAAAAAAAATTATTGAAGTTACAAATTAGAACCATTATTCTACAGATTGCCCCTTGAGGTTACTCATTAGCTAGTGGGTAAGTAGATGTCGATCTGCTGTACGGTAGGTTACAAGTGGTCACTATAATGTCATATGGATGGTGTTAAATTTGAATTCAATGATATAATAACATTGTATAAGAAAAACGTTTCTGAGCGAAAACGGTCAGTCAGCCTATGACCCTATTATTTTCATGTTGAACTAGCCCTAATTATATATTTAGGACAATTTAAACGATACAATCACAACTCACAAGTAGTTGACATTATTCAGAATCATAACAAATAATTTTGGTATTATAAGGCAATAGAAAAATTAGAATATCAAGTGTTTTGCATTTAATTAGTATCCTAATTTAAATCTTATACACTTAGGTACCTAATTACTAATTATGAGTATTTTATAATTTCAATTTGCCTATATCTCATAAAAAAATATAACTATGTTGTTTTTCTCCCTGACGCTTTTGAAAACTATTGGGAATTTCAAATTTTGTCCTCCCCAATGCACCAACAATATTCCCTTTCCCATTGAACAAGATACTGAAGTTGAAAATCGAAGCATTATTTCGACTACTTATCGTGTAGACACAAAAAACAAAACACACATCATTGTAAAATCAATACTTTCATCATTCCACTCAGAATCTAAAAAAAAAATGTATAGTCTTTGTTTCTGTGAGTCTAATAAAAAAAAACAACAGATTTAGGATAATATATTAACCCGTCAGTGGTCGCGATGTGAGCGCGGCGCTCACCTCGTTAGTATTTTGAGAGCCATTTGTTTATTTATTACTTGATTCATCTGATACTATTTATACCTTCAATCGACACATATTTAAGTATACTTTTGCAAATATAAAAATTGTATAAATAATTCTTGATTAGATATCGACATGCAATGTTGTTAATATCCATAAATTCAGCGTTTCACTCACTCA